GACATTCTTTTGGGAATCACAAGTTAGGAGATGCCTTCAGGATTGAGGAGTGCAGGTTCTAAGACATGAAAGAGACTGACTTCTTCCTAGACTATGTCCCATGAGACAGAATTACATGCTTCAGGCATAATTCAATTCACAGAATTCCTGTGTTCATCTTCTGACAAGTCTTCTTCTTGGAGATGGTCCAGGGAGATCATGGCAAGAAAATGCCACTGAACTGGATGAGATCAATTTCCAGAGGAGCTTGTATAGCACTGTTGCACAATCTATTTTTTTTTCTGTCAAAAGCCTTAAAAGCCTGAAGTATAATCCCCTGGAAGCCACACAGTTGGCAGGCTTGAAGTATTCTCACCTATTCTTTCTTCTTTCCCTTCGGAGGTCTGCATCTTTCTTCCTCCAAGTTGCAGAGAAAGGATTGCTAGATGTATTTGAATTTTTCTTTTTCCTCAGTCTTTAAATTTAGACTGAGGGTGGAGGCATCTGGAGAAAATGACAAAAGCAGCATCTTGCTTTAAGCTTGGTCCCATTGGTGTTACTGTGATGTCATGCATATAGGACACTTTTTATCATTTGGATGAAGGGCTCTGACCACACTGATGTAACATCAAAATTGAAGGCTAAATGTTGATCCCTTCCTTGCACAGCCTTAATCCTGTTGCGTAGCTGTATAAATAATGGGCCAACCTTTTTCTTTTGCATCTTTCTCACACAATGCAAGGAAAATAAATTGCGGGAAGCACCGTTATGTTTTCACAAGATGCTACAGCAGGACACTCACCATCTCTGGTGTTATAAACATATTGATTTGGCTTTGAATCTTCCTGCAGTAAAATTGGCTTCTAGGATAAAGTTGACTTTCATTCAAGTTCTATATTACATGTTAGAGCACAAAAATAGGCAATCCATTTTGCAAAGCACTTGTTATTCTGGATAAAGTATGAAACAGCTACAAAGTCTTCATGTTCAAATTTCTATATGAGTTGTTACTTCTGAGTCACACATTTACAGTTAGAGGAAACACTGAAAATAGGTTTGGATTTTAATAAGCAAAGTAAAAGGTGGGAGAAGACAAAGGAGACGACCAGGCTGAGCCTGAGGGTGGAGTCAAATGCATCATCAGTCTGAAGTCCCTATGCCCCTGAAAGAGACCAAAGTCCAGTCCCCCTTTAAATCCATTGATTCTTATCTGGCACCAATTTGCCTTGACTGTTAGTAGATCAGATTCTTGTGTATAGATTGCATGGAATAAACTGACAGTGCTTTCTGAATTCTATAATAGCTCCTGGTTTCTTGCGCCTGACAAAAAATGTATCTATGCTTACTTTCAATAGCTAATCTTGACTTTAATTTCAGGTCTTCCATCTTAAGTAGAAAGTGTCTCTTTCAATAAAAGTGTCATTGCAGCCTCCTTGCTAGAGAAAATTCATTCAGTAATGAAGTTGTCATCTTTTCAGTAGCACTTGGACATTTATTTTAATTTACGAAAGCCTTTAAAAGAAATACATGATGCCTATTTTACTTTAATGAAACAGGATTTTTTCCCCTCCTGCTTTGTGTTTCTTTGTTAACAACCCCTGCTGTTGCTAATGTGCTTTTGCTTTATGTATCTGAGTGATTTTTTTGTTTTGAACCGTTGGCTTTAATTATTAGTACCGCTGTTGTTTTATTTTACATGTTTGCAATAAGTAAATATTTTTTTAAAAAAACCCACCAGAAATACCAAGAAAAGATAAAATTGCCTGGTCACATTGGTAGTTTATAGTTTTAATAACTTAAATACAGGTAGTCCTCAACTTACGACCACAACGGAGTCCAAAATTTATGTTGCTAAGTGAGAAACTTGTTAAGCGAGTTTTGCCCCGTTTTACGACTTCTCCTGCCACATTTGTTAAATGAATCACTGCACTTGTTAAATTAGTAATATGATTGTTAGGTGAATCTGGATTTCCCACTGGCTTTGCTTGTGAGAAAGTCGCATCAAGAGATCACATGACTCTGGGACATTGCAACCGTCATAAATGTGAGTTAGTTGTCAAGCATCAGAATGTAAATCAGATGACCATGGGATGCTGCGATGGTCATAAGTCACTTTTTTCAGTGCTGTTGTAACACTGAACTGTCACTGAGTGAAGTGTTGTAAGCTGTAAATAGATTGACTTTATTGGCACCAATATGGATTGTAGAGGTTGGGTTTATTGTGTGTGGGGGTAAAATTGGGGAGTGTAGAATTGTGATCCATTCACAGCTCAGTAGAACAAAATTTTGTTTCGTGCAGAAAAAAATCAGGAAGGTGATGGCATCTCTTCAAACTGCTATTTCCTTAATGTTGAAAAGGTCTACACAGTTCATTTTGCTTCTGTTCTGCAAAGGTCACAATTTTTCCAACTGAAAATAAACTTTCATGTTTTGCCTGTTCTGTAAGATCCTTCTATGACCTCATTTGCCAGAAGCATTTGTAAATGTTCTTCTCCCTCTGGGTTTGAATTCTCAGTTTCTAGAAGGCTATGATTTCTTGTGCCAAAAATCAGATTAATCTCCTTTGTGAAAAGGAGAGAATATGATGTGTTTGCGGGATGTACTATAATATATATAATAGTGTGAGTTTTTAATTAGTTTTAATTGCTCTTATACAACCATAAAAAGAAAACAAAGCAAAACATGTGAATCAAAACAAAACAAATTACAAAAAAGTCAGAGCAAGCTGTATCCCCTATAAATCCTAAACCAAATATAAGAATGGAATGATAACTGCATATATATATATATATATATATATATATATATATATATATATATATATATATGAGATGCTATGACTCAATTTTAAATAAATTAAACCTTGACCATATTGTGTAATCTTTCCTGACCTTAATAAAAAGCCAGTTCAAAGTTTGGAAGCTGATACGTTTCAGCTACTTAACCTTTCATACCTGGTATACATGCAACTTTTACAGAACCACTTTTTGGCAACAATCCCAGCATGGTGAATCCAAAGTTCTTGATAAATGGGCATGTCTCAAATTTTTAAACAAAATTTTGATACTTAACTCTCTTCCAAGAACCTGAACTCACTATAGTAAGAGGCTACTAAGAGGCACAATCAAAATGTATGCACTAATATATCTTTAGACTTTTTAGTTCTGCAACAAACGTAAGTCCACAATCTATATTTTGCTATTTAAAAAATTCATTAAGGAATCTGTATCCAATAGATATCTATTTATCTATCATCTATCTACTTTCTCTCTTATCCACCCACCCACACATCCACCTATCTATCTATCTATCTATCTATCTATCTATCTATCTATCTATCTATCTATCTATCTATCTATCATCTATCTAGCTATCTATCTAGCTAGCTAGCTATCATCTATCCATCGATCCATCCATTTTATGAAATAATCTTTTAAGATCATAAGAGACATTGATTCTGTATATTGATTCATTGGACAATACTCATTTACATTTGCAATTCTTAATTTCTTTCACATTACTCATATTTCTTTTTTAGTGAAGATCCTTTAATTAATAGAGGTAACACACAACACTAGTAGACTTGCAATTTAAAAAGCAGGAAAGTGTCCCACAGAACAGGAGATGTTTTCTGGATATAAGCTGGCCTTGCAATAGGCTTGTTCACTATATCTCAAAGATCACAAACTACTACCTTTCCCAGAGCAGATCTAACTTGTACCAGGGATTCACTATTTAGCATTTTTTGTTGAAAAACAGATTCTTCTGGACTTGCATATTACAGTTCTGCCAGAATACACTGCACATTCCTAACTGCAGCCTTATGAGGTTACAAACAAATCTAAGTGCATACAAATGGGTCTTTTATGACACAAAGTGTGTTTAAATGTTGCAAACCAAGGAACCAGTTTCAGGACTTCTTTCTGCCATGAAAACAAACCACACCAAAAATCTACCTTATGTTATTTAATGGCTCAGAACTGTGTAACAAACATCAAGTCCATTTAGCTGGAATTAGGTCTGTTCAGTGCCTGTTGCCAGAAGTACTAATATTTACTGAGTTTTACTGTGTAAACTGGATATATTGTATTGTGTCCATTAATGTATCAATCAGATTTCTTTCAATTATTTATTTGTTCAATTTTTATAGCTGCCCATCTCAGTCAAACATTCTGCGACAGTTACAATTCATTATGTATCTCCTACATCATCAGCTGAATTATTTGTTATATTTTTGGCCTGGAATTGTTTTAGCAGAACCATTGCCCTTCATTCCCTTAAATTAATTTTGTATCCGAACGTGCATTTTTAAAATTCAATAAATACATTTTGAACAATTCAGTGAAGTTTTTGGTGCTCTCTGAGGTTGATTGTTTAGATGTTTTATCACCCAACTAGGTAACGTAATCAGACCAAGTGAGAGTGGGATTTCCCATGTGCTTCACTAATATTGAAGCCAGTATTTTGAAACCAAAGAGATATATATAGCGAGAAGGCAGGAAACAGATAGCCAATGCTTTTTTAGGAAAGTAATAAATTTTGTATAATGTTTATATCGCGAGATTTGAAAGGAAAATGATGCTAGTCCAAGCATCTAGGTGTTATTTCAAAGAGAGAGAGAGAGGGAGGGAGGGAAGGAGGGAGAGGGAGAGAGAGAGAGAGAGAGAGATCTACATGCCATAAAAATGTCATCTCTCACATGCTGCTGCAGTGTATTCATTAAAAACATTACTTGGAGCTTTTCCCATGTTATTCCATTCCCGGCTGGCATAATTTTACTCTGGTGGCATATCTGATTAAAAACAACCACAATAAACAAGAATGCATGCAGATTACTCACCATAAACAATTATCCCCCCCCCTCTCTTTCTCTCTCTTCCCACCCAGCTTTTCAGGAGACTGATAAATTACAATTGCTGATATCTTTATTTCATTCATTCCAAGAAAGTAGGAAACACACAACAGAGTGGTCAAAGACCAAATAGGAAAAAAAGAAAAAAAGAAAAAGGACAACCACTTACTTTCTTCCATTGCTACAATGGTTATATTATGCCATGTGCTCGTTTCTCTGTCCAGCGGTGTGGCCAAGGTTATCTTTCCATCTTGGGTGTTAATGTTGAATTGTCTCTCAAGGTCAGTGTTCCGATCGATGGAAAACCTAGGGGATAAAGATTCTTATTAAATTATTCGCTTAAATACTTTTGCCTGATCTGAATAGCACTGCTCTCATAAACTGACGAATCCATGTTTGGCTGAATAGCAGCTTTGTAGCCTCTGTGGATTCACTGAGCATAATAATGGTATAATTCATAAGGTCCAATAAAATAAACAAACAAACAAACAAGAAGTGGGGATCAGGAAGCAGAATTATAGTCCACGGAGTAATTAGCTATATGTTCTCAGCGTGAAGGTTGTCACTAAGATCAGTTGATAGCAGTCTTTTAAAAACTACTGCAGAATCAAGAGTTAATTAGATGATCCATCACTTTTATTGGACAGCTCCTGTTGTATTTCATCGCCACTGCTGATAATTCTGTCAATACAATAAGGGGGAAGGTTGTTTTGTACATGTCTGTGTGTTTTAAAGATGAAGCAAGCACTCCAACAAAAAACGGCTTTACGGTAATTAGGTAAATATGTCATCTCTTTATGCTGTAAACCAATTCTGAAGACAATAGCCTAAAAAAAAAAAAAACACCTTTTCGGGTAAACTACTTTTAAAAGCTGAAAAATGACCATTTTTTTTTGAACTGATTTCATTGGTGTCTCGCAAAACAACTTTGATCTGATAGCAGAGCAAATGAAGAAGGTACAGGTGCATTATGCAGCCTAAACACAGAAAGCCAATTTGACAAAGCTAGAAATCTCGATAGTAAATTGTTCAAACGGTGCATTAAACAAAATGGTGATTTAGAACTCCTTGCAAATTCTTCAAGAAAGCTTTTATGCCGGTCCATTTTCATGGAGTTGTTTTATTAATGCATTACTTGTAAAAGAAACCAAACTGGGAAATTAAACCTTTGGATTTCTGACAGGCTGTGCAGAGAAAGAAAGAGAAAGCAAGAAGAAAAATGACATAATACAGCAACTACAGCTTTTATGGTTCCATTAAATCCTAAGGGAGAAATTAAATACAGAAGCATATTTAGTATCATTCTCAAGTGTGACATCTCAAAACATCACACTAATATCTTTTGCATCTATCCAGTATTCTTCCTTACGATGCAACTATTAATTAATATTAGTTATCTCATGCCATGACTCAGACTGTTGAGTAAACGAGGGATCTTTGGACAAGGTTTTCTCTTCAGATTTTGTTCTGACCTGATTTCAAGAAAATGCATTGTATCACAACTTGGTTATACAGTCAAACTACATTTTGTCATACACAACTCAAAGGAAGAAAAGGAAAAGGAGCAGCAGCAATCGTAAATGTATCCCCCTATAACTAAATACCACGCAGGATAAAATCCACAATTCATCCCTGTAAACATGGTAAACTTAGGGTATAAAATATGGGGCTCCAAAGCCATAAGAGCCTTCAACAACAACAACAATAATAAGATCTGAACTACAAACTAATAAACATTAATTAATTAATTTAAATGGTTTCACAGCATCTCAAGAAAAAATACAGTTTTAGATTATTATTATTATCGATCATCGCATAGTCAGCCAGATGTTCAGACTGGATTTGGCATTTTGTCTACCTATCGAGTCCTTACCCAGGACCTGGGATAGGCAGATGTGGATGTTTGATGGTATTACAGATATTTTTTATTTTTTTTATTATTATTATTATTATTATTATTATTATTATTATTATTATTATTATTATTATTATTATTATTATTATTATGGATCATCGCACAGTCAGCCAGATGTTCAGACTGGATTTGGCATTTTGTCTACCTATCAAGTCCTTCTCAAGGACCTGGAATAGGCAGATGTGGATGTTTGATGGTATTACAGATATCGTCACAGGATGGAGGTGGTTCCTAGTAAGGCTGCCTTTTGCAATTGACTAATAGCGAATTTGTCAATGCCAATGGTGTTCAAGTGGTGCTCCAGTTGTTTTGGGATTGCACCCAGGGCGCCTATTATTTTTGGTATTATTATTATTATTTTAAAAAATGGAGACAGACATGAAAAGTGTTGCAACCACAATCTGCCTCTTCTGGTACAGAAATATTGCATTGCTGGAGGTTTCCAAGAAAAGATTAGACAATCTTTGTCCAGGATAGAATAAAGACTCCTGTCCTGGTTGGGGGAGGGGATTGGACTAAAAGACCTTTAAGGTCTCTTCCATCCTTATGACTCTAAAGAAAACACATGGTCTGATATTTGGATTAAATTTGTGAATTTGTGAACCACCAGAAGCTCTTTTAAATTGCTGGGTGGACCCTTATGCAGAATTCATTGTGTCAACTGCAGCAGTGTTTTGCCAGGCAATAAGGTGAGGGAGACATGAAAGACGGAAGGTCCAGGCTTCCTTCTTGTACAGATTGCTGTACAAATAGCAGCAATCTGTACAGAGATCAAATGCTGGCATGAGTCTTGGGTAACCTAGCCAACAGCTTCCATAATAATTCAAGAGAGACATAACCAGGGCATGAACCAACTGCTTACCCATCTTGGTAGTTCAGAAGTATGGCTCCTTTGAATATTTATGAAATGGAAATTAGCGCTTTTCGTTTTTTTTTAATGGAACACTTTAAAAGAAACCTCTAGCTGAAGCCTTGAAGGAAGAAGAAAGAAAAATGGAGGGAGGGAGATGACCCAGCCAAGATGGACTACAATAAGGTCGGTCTTCTGTTGGCTTTCATGGCTTTAGAGGTTGAAAAGAGATGCCTATGCTATATCATTCAGAGCAGGGACAAAAGAATAAATCTGAAAACCGTCAATATAGATGCAATAATTGAACTGGGAAGATGAAATCAAGGATCCTGGCAGAAAAGTGTGTAGAGAAAACAATAAGGGTCCTAACAATAAACCTGAGGAATCCCCAGGAATAATGGAAAAGATTAGAGGATTAAACCATTTCATGAAATCGGAGAGGCTCAATGAAATAACGAGGTGGCCCCTGCGTCTTACCATCCCTGAGCCTATCCACATATAAGGAATTTGGCTTTGTCCTGAACTTTCTGTAAGGCAGTGGTTCTCAACCTTTTTAATGCCGTGACCCCCTACCGGTCGTAAGTCGAGGACTACTCAACCGGTCGTAGGTCAAGGACTACTCAACTGGTGCAGCACCGTTTGCAGAAGGGGACTTTTGGCGGGCTCAGCAGGGCAGAGACAGCCTGGACAATTCCTGTTGGCTTTTGAAAGCCAATAGAATTAGACTCTATTCAAGAGAGTCTATTCTATTGGCTTTCAAAAGACAATAGAATAAAAGGGAGTAGCACAGCTAAGGAAAAGGGGGAAAAAATGGCGGACTGCGTTGTTTGGCGACCCCCGTGAAATGGTCGTTCGACCCCAAACGGGGTCCCGACCCCACAGGTTGAGAACCACTGCTGTAAGGAGTGATGGATGGATGAAATTTCCAAACATTTATGAAACTGGGATTTCATTGTAAATATACCAGTTAAACTGCAAGCTTTCTGAAGACAAAACAGAACAAGGTTCTCTTCTGCTCACTTTTCAGTTCAGTTTAAGCCCCATCGGATACATTTTAGAACGATTAAATAATGCGTATTTAGAAAGATCACAGGAACAAATGAACGCTAAATAGGCAATTCTTCCATTAAAATGATAAACTCCAATTTACAGCTGGAAGAAAAAGTCATATTTTCAATCCATTTTATTTAGTAACAGAAAGAAATGTGTCCCTGGGCAGATTTCAAGGTATAACCCCTGTAGCTCTTTAAATATAAAAACAAAACTGGAGATTTGTGAGGTTTTCTGCATTGATTTTCAACAAGCTCTTCATAAGGTCAAAATGTATTAAAAAGTAGAATTCCCCTCCCCCCAAGAAAAAAAAAAGTTTACAGATTGCCCAGAAGAAAAAGCTTCCTTTCTCTGACTTCAGACCAGTATATATCATATACAACAGATTTGGTAATTATATGATAGTATTATTCTTTTTAATGAGGATATTGTCAAACATCTAAGCAATGTATGAAGGTATTTTCTTTATCAAATGGAGGGAGAGGAATGGAAATAGTAATTTAGTAATTAGAAACTTTTGAAATTGCTTCAGTAATGCCACAATTTATTGAGGAGTGGTGGCTGTGTGTGTAAACTGAGTTTGGAGGAAGTGGATGGTGAGATATATTTCTTCGGTTAATGGTTCAGAAATATAGTGCTAGCTGTAGCACTTAGACCAGTGATGGCGAACCTTTTAGAGACTGAGTGCCCAAAAGATGCCCCCCCACCCCGTCCCTGCTCTGCCCTGCCTGCTGGGCCACTCACACCTACACGGCCTGCCACAGATCACCCATGGCCCAGCAGTGCCATGGTGGCCACGCCCTCCGCCCATGCCCCACAGCATCATCTGCGTGTGACGGGGTGCAAGAGCAGAGTCTTGTCCCCGCTGCCTGGCTACCATGTCCTTGACTGCGCTGCTTCACATGGACCGCGCCTGTGGGTGACTTTCCTCTGGGGGGCTGCTGGTGAGGGGACCAGGGGAGGAGGCGGGGCTGGGGCGAGGGCTCCAAGTGCCGCCTCTGGCACGTGTGCCATAAATTCGCCACCACTGACTTAGACTTATATACCACTTCACAGTGCTTTACAGCACTGTTTATAGCAGTGTTTCTCAACCTTGACAATTTTAAGGCATGTGGACTTCAACTCCCAGAATTCTACAGCCAGCAATGCTGGTTGTGGAATTCTGGGAGTTGAAGTCCACATGCCTTAAAATTGTCAAGGTTGAGAAACACTGGTTTATAGAGTCAGCATGCTTGCCACCAACAATCTGGGTCCTCATTTTACCCACGTTGGAATGATGGAAGGCTAACTCAACCTTGAGCCGGTGAGACTCGAACTGCTGAACTGCAGGCAGTCAGCAGAAGTAGCTGCAGTACTGCATTCTAACCACTGCACCACCTCAGTGCAAATATGGATTTGAATGTAACTTGCTTTTTTTTATTCATTTTTACCAAAACGCTGTTTTGTATTGATGTAAATTAAAGTTTTACAACCAAATCTGAACCTTTCCAGCCTTTTAGTTTTCTCCCGCTGAGACGTGAATTACAATGTTGATACTGTAAATCACTATATCTCAGCAATGCCAACCAGAGGGGGCATGCTACTAGGTGACTGAGATAAACAGCTACAGTTCGGGAAGGCATAAAATATTTTATCTAGGATTTTAGAGCCTGCTGAGTATTAAGAAAATGATTTACTTTTGCCAAAGATGAAATACCCTTCAGGACTCTATGTGTGGAGGATGTGTACGTATGCATACACAAACTTTTTTTTTCCTTAAAGAAAAAAAAAAGAACGCAGAAAGACAAGATCCAAGAACCATTAGTCGCCAAAGTGTTGAAAGAAACCAAGCACAAGTTCAGAAGTGTGGAGAATATCCCCCCCTTTGGATTTCACAAAGAAGTGTGGGAAGGTATAATATTCAAACAACACGGAGAATATAATATTTCCAAAAATTAAACTGATTGACATGAATCTATGGCTTTAATGTAATATTGACAACTTGGATGTTATTTCTGACATTCATTTTTGTCTTTAACAATGTTCTCACTCTTCATGTACTCAAAAAGTATCTTTGCTAATCAGATTTTTAATTTGTTCATGCTTGATATTATCCAACTATGAAATGTGCAGATAATTGTAGGTTTTGTCCTGATGGCGCCTGTTGGTTTGGTCATTGGCATTTCAATTCCATTACTGTTTGTGATTTCACACTGATTTATTGCTACTGTAGCAAAATTCTCTAGGCCAAATTCCATTGCTATATCTGTGCTAAAAATTCTCCCAGTGCTTGTCAATGATTGGATTTCAATTTTAGATTTTCCAAAAAGCTTCAGATTACACATATAAAGCAAATGTGAGATTTTATTAGCATTTAACAAATTAACTTTTGTTTTCTTCACAATCACTGAAAGTACAATCACAGCAAAAGCAATTACAAATAATAAGGGTGGTAATGAGTCACCTGGTAGATGCCTCTCCTAATATTGATAAGCCCATATTTTTCATTTCTAGCCAGCAATTCTGTCTTCCACTGCTTCCAGTTTAATGTTTTTATTGACACCAGTTGTTTCCAAATATTTGATGACTGAACTACGCGGTAATGAATCAAACACATTGGTACAATTGCCTCTAGTCTGATTGAAATAGCTGATTTTATTTAAATTGGATGATTTGTGCCTCATAGCATTCAATTTTCCAAGCTATTGCTGTTATTTGTTGGCTTGTGATTTATAAAGCTTTTTCAATAACCCATGTCTAGATTTGTCTACTAAAGCAAAGTTATGAAAGTAAAATGACTTACAATAGGTTACATTGATAACTACATATTTTGGGATGCTCCATGTAAAATTTCTTTAGAAGCAAAGCTGCATATGGAAATTGATTTTTGGACAATTTGTTTCCCCTTTCTTGATCTCTTTCATTCATTCTCCTCATGTCAGTTTTTTTAGCTCACTCATCTAGCTGTGCTATCCATCTCTCATCATATCCCTTGATAGTACTTTGAAAATCATGAAGAGTCATTGGGGATGATTTAACAATATTAACGAAGGCTACAGAGCAGCTAAATTATCCAGAAGAAAACTTGGCATGTTAAGAAAACAATATCATATCTAAAAACAGCGCCCTTAACATTTGTCCTAAAATGTATGGAATGCCAAATCTGCACTAAAAATAAACAATCACAAGATTGGGCTCTACTTAATAATATAAGGAGTCTGTAATAGCATAATGTACATGCTTCAAAAATTATTTGAAACACGTGTTTTGGATCTTGTACAAGGACAATCTCTTGTACAAGCCCCTAAAATACTCTGACTTTTCACAGGGTTCCAGGTGAGCCTGGGGTGGGGAAAGACCTCACTGCTTTAAAGGAATCTATTAATTAAAATGAATTTGTAGGAGATTACCAGGAAAAGCCTGAAAAGGGGGGGGCTCAAGAATGTCATCATTTTAGGGTCACTTTGCACCCACAAGAGAGCCAGGTTCAGCCCCACTTGAATTCCACTAGGAATTCTACCAGCCTTTTGCCCTGACTGTTAGTAGTTCAGATTCTTATTTACAGATAGCTTGAAATAAACATGTATTCACTTTGGACCCAGTCCTGTCTCCTGATTTTTTTGTGCCTGACAAAATTGAACTTAAAGCATTGGCTTGCTCAAAGACCACAGATCAGCAAACAGGAAAAAAAAAAAAAAAACCTAAAGAAATGCAGGCTACAAGCATCATAAGCATTAGAAAGGCTGAATCAGTATGCATATTAGACAGAATCCAGATGAGAAAGGGGAGACACAAATGCAAATTTTGCATATTTAATTAAAACATGTGAAATGCCTTCATACATGGCGGATTTTGTGGGGCAGGAAATACTCACATGGCTTAAATAGGGTTATTGGCACAGGAAGATATATATTTTCAATAACCAGTCGGGAATTTCTGCCTCCAATTTTTTTTTCCTCTTGTGACTTAATAACTTGAAATTTCTTATCTGATTAACCACCAGCCCTGTATAATCCTTTTGCACAGATGGCGGCTTCAAAGAATTTGGTGTAGGCCTGCACTTATGAGGCAAAGAAACATTTCCAAAGCAATTAAAAATGAAGAAGTGCCTAAAGGTGATGGATTTCAGAACTTTTCCTTGCGACATTTTCTGATCATCCTGAATGTTTATGCAGAATTTTTTTTTTAAAAAAAGCAGCACCTTGAAGACCAGCAAATTCTATCTGTGGCATATATTTTCTTAAGCCAAAAAATGTTCTTGGATCAGGTGCAGTTGATAGCCATTATATATAGATTTCAGATAAGGAGAAAAAGGAGAAAGAGAGAAAAATGGAGTAGGTGGATCTTCAACACAATGCCCATGGACATTAAACCACTTTTTAATATATATATATATATATATATATATATATATATATATATATATATATATATATATATATATATATATATGTGTGTGTGTGTGTGTGTGTGTGTGTGTGTGTGTGTGTGTGTGTGTATACACACACACACACACACACACATTCTTTTAATTATATTTAACATTTAAGTTAGCATACTGCAAAGCAAAACACCAGCCTCCAGAATCATTTTTATACCAAAGTGTACCCTTGGGTGTGTATTTGTTCTGTTAGACTTATTATTTCCTGCAATCAAAAGTTTCTTGGCAGTTCACAGTATGACCAAAAGAACAATACAATAAAAGACCTACCAGATATTATTTAAATTATTTCTAAGGAAAAAAACAACAACCCCTCTTAAGGCAAAACAAACAAATGGATTACAGCAGCTGCATTTTCCAACAGTAGTACAGTTAGGAAATAAAAATTGTAGGACTACATATTTCCATTTTATTTGTAAATGTGCCCACTAGCTGGGTAGTGGGGGTGGGCAGGAGGATAAAAGTACAAATAATGAGTATCCAGGGAAGCTATAAAATATGGAACAATCTGATTCTGGCAGAAATCTTTATGGCAGTTGTTTTTTTATTGTTTGTTCTTAGGTTTTACAGCATGCTCAGTAGTCCTAAAGAAGCTGGGTGTAGGAGAAATGCAGAACCTGGGACTGGAGTTAAAAGAAGGAACAGCCTAGTATCCCTACATAGTCACAAGTGGACTAAGTCCAGCCTTCCTTGAATCACATTGACTCTTATCTAACTCGAAGCTGGTGCTAACCCTTAATTGAGAAGATTCCTGCATAGACTCAAGTAGCAATAAATCAATAAAGTTGGATTTTCACATGTGGGCCTGGTCTTTCAAGCTTGACTCTGGGATTCTAATTACTTTTTAACTATGGACTGAGTTGACTTTACTAGATGGAGAAATGATCTGACTAAATTTAATTCCTAAGTTCTCCACAGGAGGGAAAAAAGTCGAACACAACTGGAGATTGGAGATGGTCTCCCAGAGATCATACATATTAAGGCCTTTGTGCAGCAGGAATACAACTGTTTTAAAGCAGGAGTACCTTATAGAGCTTGAAGATCCATCTGGATCGTGGGCGGTCACCTGACCAATCACGGAGTTAATAGCAGCATTTTCATGCACTTCCAGTAGATACGTTGGTGATGAAAAAATTGGGGGTTCATCAGCATCTTCCACTACAATTTTTAATGTTGCCGTATCCTTGAAGGGTCCCATGCTGATGAAACGTGGATCAATATAGGCATTAGTTGCTTCTACCTTCAGTGTATATGAATTTTTGGTCTCAAAATCCAAGGGCTGTTAAAAACGAAAAACACAAAAAGCTTTTTCTAAATAATCACAACAGCAAGAACAAGACAATGCAATGCTGACACATCTGCTTCCCCTCCTTTTCTTGACTTTTAATGCAATCCCTTTTCCCTTTCTTTTATCATGGCTGCAAACTTCATGAGTGTTTATTAATGTCTCATTTATTTGGTAAGCTTCAATGAAACCCCACCAAATTGGAGATTTGCTGTCTCTGTTTAAAAGTGTGTGTTTTTTTTTTTTTTAAAAAAGAAAGCAACACATATAAAGGTTTTTCACTTGGAATTTTGCCATTTCTTTCTTTCTTTTTTTCTTTTTCTTTTTGCTATGGAAAGATTTTTATTGCTAATGACCTAGACTGAATATTAATCACTCAGCTAATTGTCATTCTGTTCGTTGTAGTTAAGGAGCAAAGAGAGAGAAATGAGCACGTTTCATGTGGCATAAGAATTCTATTGTTTAAAGAAATGTGTGAAAAAAATGGACTGAAGATATTGTTCTTTGATTCAGATTGAACAAGTAAGAAGAATTGAGATCTAGTTATATGGAGAGATGAACATTGTGGTATCAAAATTTATAAGAATAGTTGTGTATCATAACCATCAAGAGATTTTTTTACAATATTCTCTTGAAGCTTAACCTTCTGATGCTGTTAAACAAAGCAGCATTGGAAGAATGGAAAAATTTTCAAGGTGTGTAACACATATTTAGCTTTGTTCGGGATTTAACACATTAGTATTAGCAAAAATGGAAGCATTCATGTCTGAGAGGCTAACTACATTCAGATACAAATCATAATAATTCCAATTCAAAAAGGCAAGAACAAGTAGTACATATAATGGGAAAGATCTCTGCTGATAATCCCTACAAGTAAAAACAACAACAAATCTTAGCTTAGAATTTTATCTTAATGGCATAAGTGAATTTCAAAATTACATTTAAAGCCCACATTTAAACATATCCCGTATTCTTTTCTACTGGCTTAAGGAGATCCCACTATTGGTTTAATAAGACTTTATAGTTGGTCATTGATAGCACAGCTTGCAAGGAATATCTGTGGTTGAAGCTCAAAGAATTAAGAAGATAAATATAATTTTAATTATTGAGAAACTGATGGGGTACAGCTTTAGAGGGTTAAGCAATGTATTGATCCTTTGTTTTCATAAAGGCTTAGGCCTTCTTCTCATTAGAATCACAGGTTTTGGAGACTTACCTTGAAGAAAAGAGTTGTTAAGTGCCTAAGTGAACTGAAGATCTGAATAATTATGATATATTGTTGTTAGTAAGTTAAGTGATCCATAACCTGTCTCTTCACATTTGCTCCTGAAACACTAGAGTACAGGTCTGAACTCTTTGGTAACAAGTCAGCCAGATGTTTAGATTGGATTTGGCATTTTTATCTACCTATCAACTTCCCAAGGACCTGGGATAGGAAGATGTTGTTTGATGGGGCTAAAGTTATCATTGTAGGATATAAACTGTTCCAGATAAAGTTGCCTTTTGCAATTGATGGATGGTGATTTTGTCAATGCTTGTTATTGTTATTGTTATTGTTACTGTTAGTTACTGTTACTGTTATTATTTTTATTATTATTTTATATATAAGGATTCCAAGAGATAGTATTACGAGATGAGAGAGACAGCCCTCAAACAATGGCTGGATATAGCACCTGATACGTAATTAAGTCAATTGTACATGCTATATGCAAAACGATCTTTGTATCAGGAGTGCCCAAAAGAAAGAAAAGAAAAATAAAAACATCAAATTCACAGCACCTCTATACAGCAAGAGTGATTGGATATTCATATTCACAATTTGCCAATCATTTCAATAGGCCTTGGAGAGAAGCACTTCTGATTGGTTTTGCTCATAAATATTTGAAACATGCAAATAAGAAATAATAATAACAATAATAAGAGTTACAAGACACTTTTAAAAAAAAAAGAGGCATCACCAATTTTATGACCACCCAAGATTAATATCTGCTGTAACTTCAAGAACATTGACATGTACGGATTCACAACCCAACCCTTTGATGCCTCACAATGATTAACATTTCAAATCTGCAGATTTGTCAAGCTTTAGAAAGATATAAAAATTTGCATCACAATGTCCCATAGAACGGAAGAAAGAGAAGGAGAAAAGAATCATAGAGAAGCTTAAATCTGCAATGCAAATATAAAGAGCACAAATAAAAATTCCAGAACTCTTTCAGAAAGTCTCGGAAAGCTTAAGTATATATTCATATCTTTTTTAAAAAATCAGCACACTTTTTGAATCTAGTTCTAATGTAACTTTGCCATTTTTGATAAACACGACAAGCATTGCCTCTCTGCCAACTCAGAAATTACTATGTCTTTGTGCCGATGAATAGGTTGCTGGAAATCAGCATATACACAATTTGCCAATCACACAACGGTATCATTTGAACCGTTGCAAATTCCACAGTAATAAATCATGCCAGTCCAAAGCGTTTGTCAGCTTAGTGCTTTAAATGCACAATGTTATTATTATTTAAAGTATATTTGAAATTAAAAACAATAACAGATAGGCATCTATTACGGTGTGTGCTAGGTGAAAACTATGGGCTTGATTGAAACCGGAGTTCTACGAATGAGTGGAAACTTAACATCTCTAGAATAAATCACCCTTCCTGAATCTATATGAGAAGCAAATAGAGAAAGGCAACATTGACTGGTGTTTAATTTTTGCCTGGGCAGGATGCTGCTGCAAGTAGGCTGAGTCACATTTTTCAAATGGAGTTCTTTTGAGAGATTTTGTTTTATAAAAAAAATCATTAATCTTAGGCTTATCTTATGGCCTCCATGCATTTCCCACTTCAAAATGACAAAAGATGAAAATTCAGCAGTGGAATTGGAAAGGAGCGCTATCTGGCAGCCCACTGGTCCTCTGTATCAAAGAGGAACAAATCACAGTGATAATCATGATAATTTTGCACTCATGTCAAAAGCACCAAGGAGTTTCTGGTTGAAAGGATTTGCCAATGACATCACTGCTGCCCTGGGGGGTCCATTCTTGTCCCCAGCAGGAGCTGGAGAGAATTAGGAAAGAGTATATTGTTGTTCAGATGGGTTTTTTTTAAAGGAACTTAACAGATTATTGTAAAATAGTACCCACTTACTTTGTGTGATATCATGACTATGGTCCTGCAGTGAAACGTGTTGGATGGACATTGGGAACAAGAGAAGGACATAGGATAAGCATACTGGAATCTACAAACACTGGATTCGGTGATGGCTTTCAAGAGAATTACTAAAATGTGCATATATGGGATATGGGATACTTATGGTCATTGCTTCTCTGTGCATCTCCAGGTTTATTAGAGACCATATCCCTCAAGTGATGGAAAAAACAAAAAGGGTCGACTTTCCATAAGTTGAACACAGCTCCTAGGACTTATACCTGGCACATTCATGTAGTTCTATTTTTTCCATTATTCTCTTCTGGGATGTATTTTTGACTTCTCAACTCAATTTACAGTGCATGGATTTCTTGGTGATCTCCTAAAAAAATCTGTTAAACAGGTCCAATCCTGCTGCTTAGTCTTTTTGATATCAACTATGGTAGCTATGAAATCAAATATATTTCTTGAGCTGGTCCATACCTTCTCCCGTCCCCACCCAAAACTGCGCACCTCTGCTTTAAGAACTGTTTTGGGCATTGATAGGATCCAGAAACCCATATTTTCTCCAGTCCCCATGCCATTTACCTTTCTTAATCTAATAATTCCTTCCAGAGAGTCAGAGGTGATCTCAAAGATATCCATTCCATCTCCTTCAATAATGTCATAGGATGACTTTGCATTCTCACCAATGTCCAGGTCATTCGCTTTGACCCTTCCTATTGCTTCGCCGACAGCAATGTCTTCCAATACTGAGAAATGATACAAACCTGAGTGAAAGTGAGAGTAAGAGAGATGAAAAGCACAACCATATACCAACAACCTGAAGAACAGTCAAACTTATTGCATCACCCATTTTCTTCCTGTTCTCTATTTCTTAAATGTGGCAGTTAAGGATGCAGTCATATTTTTTGCAGCTTTCTTGGGCTATATGTCATGTCATATACAGTACACTCTGCAACAGGATGACAAATAACTAGGTCTGAGAATGATTCATTGTGTTAGCCCACTTATAACAGGTACTGCTAATGCAAAACATTCATCTATTTTCAGCCACAAAACGAAAAGGAAAAAGAAAACATGCAACTTTCCAGATGTTTTGAAAACTGTCTACTTATTTATAGATAAGCTGCTAAGAATACAAAAGAAATCTAGCACATATTTCTTTTATTTTTAAATCCTATGGTGCACCAAAGTAAATTCCATTATAGCAGGATGACAGAAGCACAGAGTTTGATGCTTTTAACATGTTCAGTTAGAACAACAACAACAACAACAAAAAGTAGGAAATGTCAAAGCAGGTTTCAAAGAATGGTGTAAAACCAAGGTATAATTAGAAAAAAAAATACTTTTAAAATGAAGTTAAGGCAAATCCTCATTAAAATATAGCATATTTAGTTGGGCATTTCTAGAAGAAATTCTCTGTTTTCTGTTACTGATTTCAGAAATACATTCAGGTGACTCAAGGATAGGACGAATTAAAAATTCTAATGAAATAAGGGGAGGGAGGTTGGCTATGCAGAAGCTTAGAACATTTTTTTAGTGATTCATGGAAACATAGAGAGAGTCAAGAAAATGTTATAAAATATGAAACCTCTGGGTTGACCAGACCTAGTGGCCATAGAAGGAGATGCCCTTTAATCTTCACCCAACCCCAAACTCTTGGTATACAATGGCATGGATCTATTCTAGTCTTGGTGCCAAGCTCTACAAGTGACTCCCTAATTCTAATTTCCAGACAAGAGATTTTTCTACAGAAGCAGATAAAACTCCACTCTTGCTAAGAATCTTAATTCATAGCCTTTCCTGTATAACTGGAGAGCAAAACAACATATTAGTCTCACCCCTCCATGGTATCACAGGAAAAAAAAAACCGTGGGGAACTTATATATTGGTGTACTAATTGCTGCAAATTAATTAATGTTTAATTATGGAGCTGAGCAGAGAGAGCAAGTATTGCCAAGAAGATGAATAAGATCTGGAAGACTGTATCTCTTTGGAGACGTTTGGCAAAATATCAAAGGAAGAGTATAAATGTAAACTAAAACAATGAACTATTACATTAGCTGGAATTTGCTCCTTCCAACTGGCTATTTTAATTAGAATGTATCCTTTGTTTACCCTCTTTATTTATTTTACTCAGTCATTCAGCTTGTAGCTTGAATCAAGCATTTTGCACCAACAATAATATAATAAATCATTCATGCTAAATGTAATAAAGTCAATAATAATAAAGCCATCAGTCATTCATAGGTACCATCTCAATTACCATAAGTCCTCTGAAAAGCTTCCCATTTTTAGCAACTTTCAGAAATATAATCACTAATAAAAGTTTAAGATTTATGAAATAACGTACCGTGCCGTTTATCATATCGATGTAAAATATCCATAATTGTTTCAAATTGTCTGAGATCATTCAAACATTAAAAAAGGGAGATTAAGAATCCTAAACTTTCAAAGAACATTAAACTGAGAATTGCAGAAGTTTCCTCCAAGACCCTTTTCATTAAACTAAGGCTGGTGGAACATTCTAATGGTTTCACCCATTCCTAATTCAAAACACAGGCTAATATTTCTTACCTGCTTAAACTGGTTTCCAACAGAGTATTTTACATCACCTATCAGTTTCTCATTACTTAGAGAAAAAAATGAAATTGTTCATTCTAATGACATCTCTGACTTTTAGTAATGATCTGGAAGCAGGCAAAGGATGGGTAATCTCTGCCTCCTGAACGTGTCTACAGATGGCCTAATTATGCATGCTTCTTAGTAATTCACTTGTTTCAGCTCTGGGTAAGAGGTGAAATTATCCATTTCAGGAACTACCTATCTCTGAAACCAATCAGATACAATTCATGCATACCCAATGAGTCAGACAGTCTTAAATAGAAACACCAGGACCTCACCTTCTCATTTTTTGGTTCCTTTCACAGGAAGAATTTGCTGGTGTCATAATATAATTGTCATAACTATTTGCACAGATTATTATCCACAGTATGTCTCAGAACAGCTATAAATATACGTACCCAAGAAGCCCTGTTTTAGGGACACACATTTAGTTTTAAAAAATAATGTTGCTTGGTGGTGAAATGGCAAACTGCTAAAAAAGAAAGAGAGAGAGTCTTGTTTTATTGTTTTATGCTGTTGATGGAGTTTAACCATCAAAAAGAGATTTACTGAAAGATTTTGATTTATCTCAGTTAGAACAGTGGCAGGCAACCTGAGGCCTTCCAGTTGTTTTGGATTTTTTACCATTGGACTGGGGCTGATGAAGAAGAGAAGTCATAATTTGGCACCAGAATTCCTAACTTTAGGAGATAGCAACTCCATTTCTGGGTTCAGGCTAGAGAGGGTTAGAAAATAATGATATAGGGGATATTCAGATTTGGAGGGAATAAAAAAAAAACTATTCTGGAGCCAGAAAACATGAATGAACATTTCCTTTCCAGTGGGCTGTAGGTTAACTGATATAAGGAGGACATTTGTCTCCTGAATGTTCTTGCTGGACAAATACAAAGTATGGATCAGCCTTTAATCAAAGCTGGAAATGTAAGATTATTTGATAGTCATTGTTAAAAAATAGAAGATGGTGATACCCCAATGTTCGTTGAACATAAATCCAGATCCCCAGAAAAATAAGGAAAAGTGAGGTAAGACTGAATTAAATGAAGCATATTTGGAGTGGTAAGGAACATCCTTAGAGGATAAAATGAAATTATCAGTTTCCCTGTTGATACATGAATGCTTTAAGATTGCTCACATCTACCACATCTACCATGACAAGCATGTTGGAGATGGCTAAGCAGCTTAGTGGCAGCTATTTCATGAGACCAACCATGACATGTTTTCAACATTCCACCCCAACATTCAACATTGGGTCTTCTTGGCCCAACAGATTTGCCAGTCTGAGCTACAGAGGATGACTCACCACTCTTTAGCATAGTCTTTTTTGCAGGTATAGGATACTAAACTTCCAGAATTCACTTCTCCGCATGACCTCTGCTGAGAATTCTGGAAAATGACTGCATACCTGCCTAAACAGTGTGGAAAAGGTTATACCACAATGTACTTAATGCAATAAAAATGTTATTTCTTGTAGCCAAAACTCTAACCAGGGTGTTCCCCAAGGGTTAGATGGGGAAATGGAGTACCAGTGAGAAGGCTGTGTATTTCAAAAGGCGCTACTTTTATTTCTTATGAATGTGCATTAATTTCTTTTCTTGTTGTTGTTGCTGTAAATTTGCCGTGCGAGTCAGACAGCCTTATAAAGGTGATAAATAAATGTAATAAATGTATTTTATATCTTGCTCTATTATAGCATTACTGGCAAAAAATTCAGACGTATCAGATTAATGTTGCAAGCTTTGGTTTGAGAAGGGCAAAGAGGTTAGCTGACATTAAACTGTGATTCAAACCAATATCTTGCCCGTCTCTGGGAAGAAAATGAGAAAATAGCTGCATGCAACTTTTCTCTCTGCCAATATGAGCAGAAACAAATATAATATACTCTGTTTCATACATCTCCTTGAAAATCACCATTTGTGGTGATTCAAGAGCCTTCATGTAAAAATAAGTATATAGATGAAAATAAAACCATACCCTGGAAATGTTCATTTGTAGCCTTAAGATAGAATTGATTTCTTTGTTCCCTACATTCAGATTCTGTGCCCATTATATCTTATGCTTATTGCCTAAAATAATGCCTTATGGGCTATAAAAACAGAATGGCAGTTAATTATGTACTAGATTCTTTCTTAGTATTTCCAAGGTTGAAACATAGATAGGGATCTCACTGGCAACTGCTAAAATAATTCTTAACATATAAGCAAGAAATGGAATTATAATAAAAGGTTATCACAGGATTTTTTTCAGATGGGTTCTATTATTTAATCAGGCATTTCTTTAATAAAATCAAACATACATCCCACAATTCCTGCTCATTTTTTTCACTTTTTAAAAAAAATTCCATAGTTTAAGGATATAATCAGTTGGATCAGAAATTCCATTTAAGATGCCAGTACTGGACACAGTTTATACTCTTAATCAAGATGATGCCATAGTCTGATATATAATTATAGATACAATCTGAATAGAAAACAAGTGAGGTTATTTCAAGAAGCAATTTTACAGAGGGCTGGAGGCTAAAAGATATAAAGAATGGTTGCAGGAATTGGGTCTGTCTAGTCTAGTGAAAAGAAGAACTAGGGGTGACATGATAGCAGTGTTTCACTATTTGCGGGACTGCCAGAAAGAAGAGGAGCCCAACCTATTCTCCAAAGCACCAGAAGACAAGACAAGAAACAATAGATGGAAACTAATCAAGGAGAGAAATAATTTAGAACTAGGGAGAAATTTCCTGACGGTGAGAACACCTAACCAGTGGAACAGCTTGCCTTCAGAAGTTTTATGTGCTCCCATCACTGCAGGTTTTTAAGAAAGATCTGGACAGCCACTTAACTGGAATGGTATAAGATATCCTGATTGAGCAGGAGATTGGACTAGAAGACCTCCAAGATCCCTTCCAACTCTCTTATTCTGTTATTCTGTTAGAATTCCACCTGCCAGATAAATCCTGTAAGACACTAAATAATCTACAGAACCAGTCTAATAATATCCACATGTACCGATCAAGACTTCCCCCCCAAAAATAATTTAGCACATGGTATTGACTGTGTTTTCACCAGTGACAGGTATATGAAAAACATTTTTCTTTATTTGATGTACAGGCCACAGGAAAGATATCAGTAGATTTTTATATATGTAATATTTATTTTCTTCTCTCACTAGCGATGTGAAAAATTCACTGTTTCAGGAATGGGACATCTGGTACACCTGTTCAAGATGATTTGCTTTCGGAAACCTGGACCAGCAGATCCAGTTCATGGCCAGCCCAGCCCCAAAAATCTGCTGTTCATGTGAAAACAAGAGCTATCTGTAACAACTGGGTTTGTTTTACATGATTTGTTATAAGTGCCCCTAAAATTATTTTCAAGAGAACTCAGTAGTTGTGAAAGTTGACTGTTCTTATTTTAAAGGCTCAGGAGGGCTTTATTTATTTGAAATCTAGCCATAAATACACATGTATGTTCTGCTCAAAAACAATAAAGACACATAACTCTCTCAATACTGTCTGAGTTCATTAAAATTTATTGTGAATATGTCAAGTGTTACGTCTTATGAATATTGATCACCTTCTTGTTCAGTGTGGCTCTATTATAGCTATGAACATTCTGCTTTTATGCTTGTTTATTTTTATTTTCCCAGAAAATAGATGTAACAATGTTTGTGTTCCTATATATCTATTATATTTTTCCTCCAGGACTTCAAGGCAATATAAGTAGATATCACTAAGTACTAATTAGGCTACCTGCCAATCTCTGAATCAAATTTATTCAATAAATTCCATGACTGAGTGAACATTCAAACCTGAATCTTGCCCTAGACCAAGACAATAACTACTATATTACTCTTATTTTCATGAAAATCATAAAGGTTCTGTTGGCAAATATATAGAGTTGCTGCTGATATTAATCTTTCCTGATGGCTAATATAGCTAGATTCAATTTCCTGTAAATTCAAACACACAACCAGAGCTGTTTCAGACTGCACAAAGATTTCAAGCCAACGGCTTCTGAGTTAATTTTTATTCCATAAAATATCCAATTAGATTAAAACAATGAGCAGCAAATGGATTACAGCCATTGCAGTTAACTGATGGCACCAAAACACTTCCTGGGGGAAACAGATTGTAATTTATCACAATCTGAGTGTGACTTTTAATGTGGTTCAGTCTCGTTTTAAAAGGTTTAAGGGGCAATATACTGTAATATGATAGATTCAAGGCTCACTTCTCAACCAATATTATGTACAGGATTGGCCTATCCAGCATAACTATTGAATGAAGAGCACTTTATAATTACTCTAGCTTTAGCTAATATATAACACATCATTTATGTGTAGCGGTTTATAATGAAATCTTTATTCTTTTCATTTTGAAGGGAAGAAATGAATATTAATTGCCTGATCAAGTAGGTAGATTCCTAAATTTGTAGACTGGCTCTAATTCCTATTATCAATTCATTTTTTTCTTGTTCATCTAATGTGATTCAACAACTGAGAGATATTGAAAGAATATTATAAGTGATTCAACATTCAACTTTTTGATTTTAGCTATGACTGATTGCTCTTATAAGCTAACCAGAGTTCTTTTAGGTTGCAATATAAAACAGCAACCAATGTATAATTGTAACACAGTAGGCAGCTACTATACTGAAAAAAATGCAGTGGGCATGACTAAGTGTTAGGAGGTAGCCAGTTGTGCTTGCACACAGCACTTCACTTGCTTACTGAACCAGTGAATATTCTGGTTGCATACAATACATTGACTATAAACTAATCAAACAAAACTGCAAGTGTATCAAGATAGAGATGAAAATTAAGATTAGCACTAACTATGTTTAATATGTGGGACTGTACCTGCTAGAGCATTCACTAACCTAGCTAAGTGTATTGGGCAAACACAAAAACTGCCTCTTTTCCAATTGTTTTGTTTCCCTTTCATAGACTAAGTATCTACTTATAATAAATGAAAGGGAAAACCAGCTAACACTTAAGGATGCTTATAAGAAAATTCCAGCAGAATGCAACTATGCCTAATAAAATCAACCCTTATTATAACAGATCAGTGAAGCATACATATGTAGAAATGATAGCTCCAAATATGGATTTTGAATTTAAGATCAGCAATTAACTAGACCTGGAATTGTTTTTCCAGTTCTTATCTCCAATTATGTCTTGGTCAATTTCTTGCTTTTAACAACAACAATACACATATTTTTAGACTTGTCCCTCGTTGACTAATGTAACACTAATCTAATAGGGCTTTGAGAGGACTGAAAATAACACAAGGCTAAGAAATAGATAAAGAAAAGGGGAAAGGGGAAAAGGAGGGTATGGAAGTCAATATTATAAATAGATTTACATTTTTTTCCCTTAAGGATTTCTAGTGCTCACATTTTTGAACTTCTCATTAATTCAAGCCAGGACCCTAAAGCTGTGTGGCATTACTCACTCCCAGTACTGTTGTATATGAACCTATATATCAACATTTATTCTCTGTATGTCAGACACAGAAAGTGCCTGTTTGAAGTAGGCATCTCAATCGGATGACTTGTTGGAATAGGGTGACCTGACTTCAAATCAATACTCATCCACCCTTCTCCTTTACACAGGTCAAATTTAAATAGCTACAGGAATCAGTAACCCATGGGCTTCCAGAGATTGTTTGCAACACCATATAAAACAAGTTCCTGTGTTTATAACAAGCATTTTAAGGGGACACTAAGGTTTTTTTAAAAAAAGGTCAAAAGACAAACAGTTTGAAGAACAATGAACAACAGATTGGATGTGTGATCAGTGCCAGGCAGAGAATTCTCACTTTGTCCCAGCAGGGGGAAAAAAAAAATGTTTTAAAGCTTCTTGCATGGAAGAAAACGTTTCCAATAGGTTTTTACTGTTGTGTGACTTTCTTCTGCTTATCAACTGGACAAATCTTTCACCCAATTTTTTTTACCTGTAGATTGGGAGGAGATGTTTTAAAGGGAGCTTTTTTCTAGCTTTAAATATGAGGGTTGGAAGCAGCTAGAGTAGCTGAAAGCACAGAAGGAGAGGTGGAGAAGATCGAAATCAAAAGGATGCCTCAAGAAGAGGCGCCACAACATAAGGATTAGGAACATGAAGAAATGAAAGAAAGGCAATGAAAAGATGAAAGAGATTAACATCTCTGCATTGCTGATATACTGAATTATGCAACCATTTTTCCCCCTCTGTCTTGTTTCCCCCCAATAGCCATATTTCTCCATCTCTGTGTTTGTCCTGCTTGATTACAAACTCTATTTGCTTTGCCTTGAACATGCCTAAGTCTCACAATAAAAGGATATCAAACCATGATGTGATCAGTGGGTTGGTTTTTTTTTTTTTTTTTTTTTTTTTTTTTTTTTTGCAACTTGTGTTTTTAGTAACCTGACACTTATTTGGGCTGAGAGGGAGTGATTAGTCTTGGATTACAAGCTGACCTCCATACTCAAAGGGTCTCTGTTAGCCCTTCAAGGTAGTCCAGAAAGATGCACAACCAGGATCAGCAGCACTATGTTTATTTTAAGATTACATTGAACAATCTTGCAGGACTGAAAATATTTATCTCCTCCTCTCTTTTTAGTCTCTGGAAAATTAGAAAGGGTCCCTTCTGAAATGCTCCCCATGTTTTCCTCCTACCTGTGATCTGAAGGGTGTCTTCTCAGACCATTGCCCTGGCTGTAGGTCTTGCTCCTGTCTCCAAGGTTATTCCTACACACCATCACAATCTCTTCACCCCTAGCCTAACACCAACAGCACTTCACTGTTCTATTGTTCTATTTTATGCAAATAGCAATCTTTATAAATTACACATGATGGTTACTTATGGAGTAAATACAATGGTTGGGTTTCACATACCACTTTAAAGAACAGGCCCATCATTACAGATCATGGTGGTTAGATTCACACAATATGCCAAGGTAACACCACATAAGGCGCTTAGTTCCTTCCAATGATATGTGTATTCAATTATTGTCTTTCTTGGCCTGTTGTCTGATTATTAGGAAGTGGATGCATCAGAAACATAACTTACTTTGTGCAAACTTTGGAGGATTGTCATTGACATCAGTCAGCGTAATAGTCACTGTGGTGGTTCCAGAGAGTCCACCCATGTGTCCACCCATATCCTTTGCTTGGATGACCACAGTATATTCCTCTTTGGCTTCCCGGTCCATGTTTGAAAGAGCAGTTTTGATGATAGCTGGGAAAAGAAAAGAAAGGAAGGAAGGAAATACCATCAGAAAGGGAAGTGAGAACTTCATGCAGTGTGACCAAGGCTGGATTTAATATTTGAGATGATCTTCTTGAAACTATCTTCGTTCAAAGGTAATATTTAAAATATAACAACACCAGAAAAAACCTGTGGATCAGGCCACGGACTTAACTGGTGTAACATATTTAATATATATGATGAAATTTGGGGATCTAGCTTGGGAATCTCTCACCTCATTAATTGCCAGTTGATTTGGCTTATCTGAATGACTAAGCAGATATCTACTTCTTTCTTCACTGCCCCAGGGTTGTCCCTCCAGAATCCGCACGCTCAATGGGAAATATCTAGCATTGTGTCATTTTATGGGCAGGGTGTATCAGAGCCGTATTTCATCCACTGACAAACCACCTGCATTCAGAAAGTTTACGAAAAGGAGAACTTCCACTCTGCACCCTGGAAAGTGGAGTTCAAGGCATGCTAATAATGATTCCAGAAGTAGAAACCAGCATTAAAAATAACAGCCACTAATAGTGCAACCCTACCCAAATCCTTTCATTTCAGTTTTAAAACCATCTAAATTCACAATTAATTTGTAGTTTAACTTTACTTCTCTTCACGTTTGGCTCTCCTGCACAGCTGGATGAGCTAGTTTGCTTCAGGCAGCCACAGGCAGGCAGGGAGACGAAAGGAAGGAACAAAATTAAAAGAGAACTAATGCCTTCAGAATGTATTTATTTACACCTATAGTTGAGCATGGGTAAACAGTTGCCTAAAAACAGGGAGCACACAAACAAAAAAACTATCTTTTGATCTTTAATGATAAACTGTTAGTCTTCTAAGATGCTTCAGTTTTAGATTCCATCTATGTTTAATTCAACCAGATAATTGCCTCTGGCAGTTTTCGTCCCTCTTCACCTGAGGAAAGATATTTTGGATATCAAGGAACTATGAATATTGTTGCTATCCTTATTACCAAGCCAATGTTTCTATTAACGATTTCCATTAGGCTAGAAGAGCAATGCATTCCTAACAATACACAACCAAGGCATGGCCTACTTAGTCCTGGATGGATGCCATACAGTGCAGGATGGCCAATACTATTTACTTTCAGCCTGGCCAGTAAAGGTTTTAATGGACAAATAGGTATCTTGAAGCATTAAAGAGTAGCACAAACCATGGGGATTTGGGTGGCTTAAATGGGTAAATTAGGTGACTTAACTCTCTCTGATTCTCAGCCTTGCCCTGCAAAAAATGAAAACAGAATGCCCCACATAGATACCCAAAACAGCCTGGAAACATTGATGTTTCCATGCCAAAGCTCATCTGGATGGAATGGGGCAATTTGCCATGCCCAATTTGCCATGGCTATTTCACCACAGTCATCTTGCTGTAACAACACACCATGGGACAATTAGCCACAGCCAACTCGCCACAGACAATTCTATGTGAGCTAACTCAACACGATAAATGCTATTTGTCACTGGGGTTTTTTGACATTATTTCCATTTTTATCACTAGAAACGACAAAGAAACAGTGGAGAATAACATTTATTGAGTTGACTTATTCCATGTGGAATTGTCCACAGTGACTTGTCCTGTGTCAAGCTGGCCATGGCAAGTTGTGCTGCTGTGAGTTGGCTGTGGTGAGAAGACTGTGGTGGGTTGTCTGTGGTGAAATGGGAGTGGCAAGTTGGCCACACAAGATGGTAGTGGTGAGTTGGTTGTTGTGAGACCCCATCTGGATGCAGAATGGGAGCTGCATTTAGTCAATGCTCTGTGTGAGGGATTTCTATCTGCTGCCACCAAGTTACTGTTTTTTACTTGCACATCCCATGCTCCATCTTTTTTTTTTTTGCCTGGTGTTCAACACTCTAGCCATGCTGAGCAGCACCCTCAACTCTTGCAAAATATTGTTATGGATCAGAAAATGATTGGGAAGGCTGCATGTGACCAACTGGCTGTGAGATCAGAATCAGTCTTTACATGATGACTTGGAAGGCTACTCATCAGCAAACTGGTCAGAAGTGCCTGCCACTTTATGACATCATTTGAATTTCCCTAGAGCACACAACTCTGGTTTTGGGTCTGAAACTTAGAGAGGGAAAATCAGCAAACCTTCCATCAGGTTTGCCCACAATCTCATTTTTTAAAATAATATTACAGAAAATATAGACATTATAAAAGAAAATGTAAACCACACAAGTCAATCGCAGCAAGCTGAATTTATTCAAACTTTCTCTGCATACTGAACATGCAGTCTATAATAATGGATTAGGAGCCCCCCAGGCAGCCGGGATAAAAACGATAATACTGTCAGCTTTTGTGGCAGAAACTATCCATTTCCGGCGAGGAAACTCAAATTTCTCTTTCTGCTTATTAAATAAGAGATTGGTGGTGTCCATTCTTAGAACATCTGGCAGTTTAATGGAAATACATGAAGATATTATTTATGTATGTATCTATTTACATATTCTTAAAAATGTGCTAATTGCCTTCCTGGAAAGAAAAAAGCAAATGCATTGACGAGTCAGTTAAAAAATGTCAGTGACAAAAGCACGGTCTGCAAAACAAGACATTCACATGGAAAAGGACAGCTACAAGGAAAGCAGATTAACCCAACAGGAGAGTGAAATGATTTTTAGAAGTAGAAATAACAACGTAAGTTTCTTTTTCTTTTGCAATTTGGTAATATTTATGTTGTGATTGACACGACTACCAAAGGATACCTGTAGAATATAGAAGTTTTCTACTTTAGGGTAACAGCCCTTTCAGCCCTGAAGCATTCTCATCTATTTGCTTCCTATATACAGAAAGTCCCTCAACTTACAACCAACACTGAGTTCAACATTTCTGCTGCTAAGTGACTTAGTTGTTAAGTGACTTTTATCCCATTTTACGACCTTCCTTGTCACAGTTGCTAAGCGAATCACTGCAGCTGTTAAGTTAGTAACACAGTTGTTAACGGAATCTGGCTTCTCCAACTGACTTTGCTTGTCAGAAGATCGCAAAAGATGATCACATGGCCCCGGGACACTGCAACCGTCATAAATATGAGTTAGTTTCCAAGTATCACATAACCATGGAGATGTCTATGGAGGTTCTATGGAGACACAAGGCAGAAAACAACCAAGAAGGCTCCACATATATTTGCACTACTCAGGTGATCCTGAGAACACAGGTAAACCTCCAAATGGCCCCAACGACTGTCTAAAAGAATGCAAACGACCAGCTGTCTGCAAGGAGTATAAATCCTTCCACTCCCCACCATTCCAGTTAGAGCTGAAGAATCTTCTTGGATGAGAAGCGAAACGTCTTCGAAGAAAAACAAGAAAGTCCAGTTTCCTCCTGAAAAAACACCTTTGGGATAACCATGGAGATGTAGCAATGGTCATAATATTGAAAAATGGTTATAACTCACTTTTTTTCAGTGCTGTTGTAATTTCAAATAGTCACAAAAGGAACTACCTGTAATCTGTTAGTTAACTGTGAAAAATGGGGGTGGTGGGCGCGGGGGGGCGGGAGTGGTCTAGATAAGCCACAATGTTTTCATTTTTGTCTTATAATGTTAAGCAAATGGGGTCAGTGAGCAAATGATAATAAGGCAATAAAACCTAGTTTGAAGCTATGTTTTGTTTTTGATGTACTGATTACAAATGTGCCTCGGAGTAATATGTTAATAGGCACACAGGGTTCATTTAGAGTATTTTAGCTTATTCCTAGTTTTTATATGTCCCTTGAGCTTGTAATCACTCCCCAGGCTAAGGAAGACTCACTGAAATAGTACAGAAAGCAAATTACAAATTGACCAAATAACTCATAATTATTGTGTTGATCCATTAAACTGCCTGTGGTTTATTTACCCAATTAAGATAAAAAATAAATAATGTTGTAAGGGGACACCTGGGCATGAAATGTAGGGTTATATGTCACTGTTCCAAGATCTGTTCCATATCAGTTTTAAGTTGTAGTTGAGTTGGACGTCTGTTGTATTACCCGTCTTCATTTTTTTTTTAAAAAAAGGAAAAATCACAAGCACTAGAACGTGTTTTTTGCCTAATTTTCTACTTACACATAAAACATCCCAATACTGTATGTAATTTTAATGGATGTCTTTTGTCCACATGGCTGTACAGGTAGTCCTTGACTTACAGCAGTTCATTTAGTGACTATTCAAAGTTACAACAGCACTGACAAAAGTGACTTATGACTCTTCTTCACCCTTATGACAAATGCGGCCTCCCTATGGTCATGTGAATACAATTCAGACGCTTGGCAACAGAGTCACATTTATGACGGTAAAATGAGGCAAAACTCACTTAACAAATGTCTCACTTAGCAACAGAAATTTTGGGTTCAGTTGCAATCGTAAGTCAAGGACTACCTGTATTGCATATGTTTTGCAAAATCTCAAGCACAGGACAATTTAATAAATAATTGTGCACCCATCTGCAGAGAAGCTCCGGATCTGGGAATAAAATTAGCTTCTTTAAAAATACAGGCTAAGCAACAATCTACAATCTTTTCATGAAGTTCCGCTTTTTAAAACTGTTGTTTCGTGAACTGACTTTCACAAATGGTTTTTAACATCAGGGAAGACATACAAAATGTTGCATGCCCTTGAGTGTACAACACAACTCCCACCTTGTGTTATGGAATTAACTTTTCTTTGTTATCGGCTTTTTTTAAAAAAAACCTCAATTTTACCAATCCACTCTTGTCAGCTCTGTTTTACACTGCAGATGCTAATAGGTGAATGAATAATTAGGCAGCCGTTTCCCAGCTGGCGTGAAGTTATCTTTTGTCAAACCTATTTTTCTTTATCATAAAACTGTCATAGAGAAACCATTTCACCATCAAATATCTGTTTAGAAAAGGGCAAAACACAATTGTCAGTACTGTGACAGATGCAGAAGATGGCCACAGGGAAAGGGGGAAAAAAAACAGCTTTTTTTTAAAAAAAAGAATGAGAATTGGAATTTGGAAAATCATTTCTGTTCTAAACTGCTTTCAGTTCAGCGGTTATTTGCACCTCTCTGATAACATCAGAGGCAAATGGAATTATGTGGAAAATTCTGGATTATGCTTCACATCATTTACTGCCAGTTACAAGAAAAAGGGTAATGGAGCAAAGAGAGAAAAACAGAACGCTGTATGCTGTTAGCTGACTTTTAAAAATAGGTTTGTTTTTTTTTCCAAACCTAAGAAGAAATATTGAGATAAAGCTAATTGGGAAGTTAGCAAAGTCAACTATTTAAACTTCCCTATTAAAGTGGTGAAGAGTTTGGTCTGCCCCAGAGATGCGTATTTTCATTTTAGAAATTAGAGTGTGCCCCACTTCAGGGGTCACACACACACACACACACACACACACACACACATATTTGTTTTCTGAGGTTTTCGCGGGTGTTTGTATGTAGATCTTTGGTTATTTGGATTTTCTCCTGCGTAAAATTGGAAGTGTCTTGGTGACCTTTTGATGAAGTCCCATTCGTCATCTTCAGGCTGGTGTTTTCAGCTTCGTGCTTCTAGGAGCAATGTGTGATCGTAGCTGTTTCTTCCTTTTAACTGCCAGTGGGGGTATGAATTGATTGAGTGGGAGCTTGGCTGTGTTCTGATTGGGTGGAGGTGTGTTCTGATTGGTTAGGGACTTGGCTGTGCTCTGATTGGATGGGGGAGTGTTCTGTTTGGGTGGGGGCTTTGTTGTGCTCAGGTTAGTCTGAGTTGCAGGGGAATTTGAGATGGTGAGCTGCGTTGCTGTTGTTTGGCTTCGTGTTCGTGGTCGTGCCTCATCTTCATGGTGGGTGTCAGTTTGCTTTATGTATGGATGAGAAGGGTTTAAAGTGGCTAATGATGCAGCTGTGGTCTGGCTTCTGGTTTGTGATCATGCTTCATCATCAGTGTGGGTTTGGGTTTGCTTTTTGCGTGGATATGTGGTGGTGACATCCTGTGTGGTTTTCGTGAGTGTGGGTCTGGTGTCAAGTACAAGAAAACACTGTTATTTTCTGCAAGTCTGGAGGTTCACCTTTTTTAAGGTTTATGGGTTAACTCCAGTTTTATCTGGAAATGTCCACTCCTGAAAATTGGACAGCTTCAATCTAATGTGCTCTGTTTAATAAACAGGCTTCCTCATTATGTACCAGTTTTATGTTTGGATTGCTCTCATGGTATATGATCTCAATTGCCCACCTGTGCAATCACACAGCACTTAATGGATTTGCTCAGATGTTACTACGGGCATTGCTGGAAGTTAATAAGATTACAGAGATGACCTTATAAACATTTTTTTGGGGGGGGGTTAACCCAAATAAAATGTAACACAACAGAAACCAGTTTAGTCTCTCAGGTCACCCTGCTGGTGCAAAGATGTTAATAGGTTATATGTGGGAGGAGGGAAACACTTTTCAATAGAGGGTTCATAGGCCCGTAAAGACATTTACATCAAACTTAGTTCAATTGATAGCATAACGTCTGTTTCCAATTAATGTTTGCATAATGTTTCCTGAAGAGTGAACTGTTTGGTTTCATGACACCCACATTATTCATCCAAATTATGAGCTAGGTTTGCCTGACATAAGTTTCTCACAAGTTTCTATAATACACATTAAAGTCTTGGCCATATGGTTACTATCAAGCCAATTTAGATCTCCCTGATATGAGTTCTGTTGTATTAGATTAAAGCCAATAGAGTTTATCTCAATCTGATTGATCAGATTTTGATCAAGATAACAACCTGCATCTTTAGCTTCTCTAATAATCATTTACATAATTTACTAATAGAAAGGTTTGATAAAATCATGAAAAGAACTATTATCAATTCATTCATCTTTTTTTAAAAAAAAACCCTAAGACAGTAGACATTACACAATTTTTCTGTGGAATTTTGATCTGAAACCTATTAAATTGAATAATTTCATATCCAATTGCTGACTCAGCTTAATGGGCTGAATGTAAGTAGATTAGAACAAATCAGCAGTTTGTTGGGCTTTTGCACAGAGCTATGCAATTTAACCAAACCAAAATTGTGATTCCATCTGAATTTACTCAACTATTCAAATCCATTTGATTTGTTAAATTAACAGTTCAAGTTTGGAGTCACTGACAATTTGAATCAAATCTGTGTAAATCTATATAAATATAAATTGGTATCTTTCTATCAATCTATCCTTCTACAGTGCAAACAATTTGAGCCACAGGTAAACATAGCTTTCAAATATATTTTCCATTACTATGGTAGAAAATAAGAACAGGAACTCCTGCTCCAGGAATTCCCCAAACTGTGTAAAATATTATAAATAGAGATACAAGTGAGACAAATTAGAAATGCTATGAAAAATACCAGACACCTTAAGTACAAAACAATCCAACATGGATAAACTCCACAACTAATTAAGTGATAGACAACATTTGAGGAAGATACTATTTTTAATCCAGTAACTAATGGTACTTTCAGGATCTAGTCCATCAATGGGTTTTAAGAAGCTTTTGGATAAAGCTGGTATTATAACCATTATAACCATGTGCAACAAGGAGATTAAGGAATTATTAGTTCTGGATCTGAACTAATATTCATTGGCAAATCTCTTTAGGAAATGAAATGGAAAGCTTTCATTTCTTGGAAAGCTATCCTTCTACAGTGCAAACAACTTGAGCCACAGGTAAACGTAGCTTTCATTTTACACTGTTAGTTTCAGAATGAAAGTAAAAGCTCCTGGTTGAAGCCTGATGCTTCAGCTAAGCATGCAGAAAACCCTAAATTCAGTGTCTGGCATATCCAGTTAAAAGGCTTACATTTAGCACACGATGAGCTATACTTGGCCTTGAAACTCTAAAGGACTTTGTCTGGAAAAGTAGATCACAACGTGATAAAGAGATGTATACAATTCTTTTAAAAAAATAGCTTATACTTTTAGTAAAGGATGGTTTATTCCAGACATGTCAAACTCGCAAAGTCACGTGACGTCATACAACATATCGGAGCTTTTTCACCATTGCCGGCAATGGGGTGGGTGCGGTTCTGGTATGATGAAACCAGCCCGCGGTCTGGCAGTTTGATACCCCTGGTTTATTCAATATGAGTACATTCTTAGCATTTAATTCATATTTTTAATAGGCCAATTTCTAAGGTATTTTTTGTTGGTTGGTTTGTTTTAAACAAGAGAAATATGATGCTATAAATTGTTGTCATGTTTTCAGGTTTCAATCTAGAGGACTCCCAATTTTGAAGTAGACCGCATTCTACTTCATTCTACTACATTCCATCACTATGGCTTAGACCAGTGTTTCCCAAACTTGACCATTTTAAGGCATGTGGACTTCAACTCCCAGAATTCCACAGCCAGCGTTGCTGGCTGTGGAATTCTGGGAGTTGAAGTCCTCATGCCTTAAAATGGCCAAGTTTGGGAAACACTGGCTTAGACAGATATTTTATCAAAATAATGAGTCTGGTGTGAGGCAGCTTCTTGGTGACTGTATGCCATTTGATAATGAAGAAAATATTTCTAAGTAAATTTATTCCATTGCTCCCTAGGTACCCAATCATCCTCTTCCTCCTCCTCCTCCTCTTCCTCCTCCTTCTCCACCACCACCACCCTAACTCTAACCAGCTACCTGAGGAACCGTATCCAGCAGAAAAGGGGAGATGTTTTATGTAGAAATTCTGTTAGTCGTTGTCTCTGGAGGAAAACAGACTCATCACAGCCTGTCTCCATATCAGTTTGATATTTTCTTTCATAAATGGTCACACAACAACCAATTTGGGTGCAAACACATATTTTCTCAGTAACCTCTTCTTGTCTACATCTGTGTGTAAGTTAGTAAATTGGTTTATTTTTGTAATCACAAGTGATAACATAAGAATGCCATAAAATTCAATAAAATAACAAATAACCTATCTCTGTCCACACAACTTTTTTTCCCTCCATAAAAGTAACACAACTTTTCTGCCTCCGTAAAAGTAACACAACTTAGGTTTTATGATTGTGAAAAGAATTTGCATTCACAAACACTACCTGTTCTTCACAACGCAGACTATTTGACTACAATGAGCTGTTCACTTTTTTTTTCCTCTTAGCACTTTGGTTGCCTCAACAAAATTTATAAACATCTTTCTTTCATTTTAATGTTTATATTTTGCTAGTCCCTTTGGATGGAAGAGTGAGATAATGAGCCACCTATTTCTGCTCTACAGATTGACTAATGTTAGCAGCCACCCACCTACGCATTACGTTTAAATGCAGGACACAAAACAGCATTGGGGATGCATTCCCCCCCCCCCATATCGCAGTCAGTTGACATTCTGAAGCACTTACCTGTGTGTGGCTCAACTGAAAAATAAGGTTGTCCTTCCAAAATACTGTACACCAGCTTGGCACTGTTTCCATAAACAGGATCATCTGCATCGGTAGCTGTCACTTTAGTAACGTATGTACCTAAGGACAAAAAAAAAACAAAACAATATTGGATTTTGTTCAAGGCCCTGATTTCATATGTCACTCCCAAACATCAGTGCTATTGTAACTTTGAATGGTCTCTAAACAAAAGATTGTAAGGTGAGGATTACTTGGAATCAGGAAAACAAAACAGAAATGAGTGAACAGAATGAAACATCCACATTCAGAGACAATAAATCACCTGTAGAGATGGTTACCAGCATCAAATTCACTGGGTGTGCAGTTAACAAATAGGCTGGCTTGGTCGCTCAACAGCAAGACACTAGTGAAGCAGGCACAGCAGCACCTGCATTTTCTGCATCGCATGAGAAGATCACATCTTCCTTCCCCTGTCCTGACCACTTTCTACAGGCGGACAATCGAGAGCATCCTGTCATACAGCAACACAGTCTGGTTTGGAAGCATCACTGCTTCAGACAGGAAGGCGGTGCAGAGAGTGGTGAGAATGGCTGAAAAGATCATTGGCAGTTCCCTCCCTCCCATCCAGGACATAGCACATAAGCATTGCTCGAGCAGGGTCCGCATGATTGTCGGGGACACTACACATCCTCTTCACAACCTGTTTTCCTTGTTACCTACTGGGAGGAGGCTTTGTGGTATCCGAAGCAGAACATCCAGATTCAGTCACAACTTTATTCCATACAGTATTAACCTGGTGAACTCTAAAGCTTCCTCCTTCCGTTATGTATTCACGATGGACGGTGATTAATAATTATATGTAAGGGTGTAGGTTTATACATTTGTTGTATATAGTAAGTTTTAAATGTGTTATGTATGTGTACACTTTGAGAGGAAGCAACTAAATTTCATTTTTAATGTGTGCCATTGTGCCCATAGGAAAAAAAATGACAATAAAGTTTTCAATCTATCTATCTATCTATCTATCTATCTATCTATCTATCTATCTATCTATCTAAATCTCTCATTTCAAATGATGGAACAGTTGAATCTTTCAGCAAGACAGTGACCTGGAACATACTTCCAAATGAACCAAGAAATCAGAAAGAATGAGAAAGACTTGGGGAGGGTTTCCAAATTTCCCAGATTTGAATTTCAGTATCTCAAATATGCAAAGCCTGTAAGGATATGTAAGAATGATTCTAATCTGGAAGAGTGCTCCAGGGAAGAAGGGAGGGATGTGTAATCCAAATTAATAGAAAAAAATATTTAATTTGGCTACAGGAAATGTTTCGAAGCCATCATTTCTGTCCAAGGAAGAATTGTAAGGAACTCCCAAATTGGTAAGGGAAAATCTAGTTTGTGGTTTTCTTTCATGTTGTCTTTAATAATAGAATTAACTAATGTTAGCTAAAATAAAGAAAAAAAAATCATCAGCTCATCAAAGAAGAAACAGAAAAATCCACACAGGTAGCTCCCAAACCATTAGAAGCTCAAATATGAATGTAATTCTTCCAGTAATTATACTAATAGAATAAGAAAGCAGGATAACCATTTCCTGAAAGATAAATATCCATTCTTAATATCATACTAATATGGTCCTGTACATGGTAAATATTGTATTAATCTTGTTTTAACGGCGGTAGATTCAGTAGTAAAATGTTTATCCTTGTGCAATGATGCAAGCATTGATCCATTTAATTATATTTATTAGGCTGCACACAATTATTGTGTGTTATCTCAAGGAGATCTTTTGCATCGAGGCAATAACACACACTGACTTGATGCTTCCATTAGATGTGTCAAGACAGGCCCAATCTGCCTTGATCATGGGGGTTCAGGAAAAGTGGCTTCTGCACATGTGGTGTGTGAGTCCAGAAACCAGATTTGACAGGCAAAGCAAAGCACAGTGTTCACTTTGCTCTGCCAATTAGAAGCAGTGTGTTGTGACACTTTTCAAAAGAGCTTAGAAGTCTGCTTTGATCAAAGTGAAGTGTCCCTTTGAGGCTTTCTGCAGCACGAATATTTATGTACCATCCTTTGGATTTTTTTTTTAAAAATCCACCACATATATAACATTGAGGTGCTGTATCCTAAAATGTTAATTCAACAATATAAATAAAATATTTTAAAGCCACGCTCCCTTTCACAATCAAAGGGCTAATCTGAAAAATGCGTCAAAAGTTTAAAAGCGGACAGTAATAACTGCTTGCAGTTCCACAGAGCACACTGAACAGTTTGGGAATTAAAATGAGAGAGCCTTTTGCATCAGACCATCAAACCGTATAACACAAATAAAGTTCAAAAAAGTTCTCTCCTGAAGATCTAAAGAAATACACAGACTAAGCATCAACAAGGGTAGACTTAGAGCAGCAGAAATCTACATGGATCTGTACAAATCCAAAAACAATGTTGGTCGAAAAGTAGAACAAAATGAAAGGGTGACTAACACATCCAGGCTAGTAAGTTACCAAGCAAATACATCAGCTGGAATATCATGATTAAAATTTTGTCTCTACTGAGATCCATTTTACGATTGAAAATGATAGCATCTTCTAAGATAAGGATTTTGGAACACTGGTAACTTTGTTTTGAAAAAAGCAGTCTGTGTTTTGGCTCTAATTCTGATGCAAGGAAGTGACCAAATGCAATGATGACCAGGATATATAGCCACAGGCAGCTTGAGTGCAATTCCAAATCATCTGGAAAACCATTTGAACACTACTGACATTGACAAAATCGAGATCAGTCAATTACAAATTACAGGTGTACTTGGGAATTGCTTACACCCTGAAACAATACCTTTAACTCCATTAAATAACAATATCTGCCTATCCCAGGTTCTTGGAAAGGACCTAATAGGTGGATAAAAATGCCAAATCCAGTCTAAACAATAGGCGTCCTATGCGACCAATCATGATCATAATAAAAAAATAGAAAAGGACAAGGTAGGTAAGTAGGTAGGTAAGTAGGTAGGAAGGAAGGAAGGAAGGAAGGAAGGAAGGAAGGAAGGAAGGAAGGAAGGAAGGAAGGAAGGAAGGAAGGAAGGAAGGAAGGAAGGCTGGCTTTTTAGGTAAGGTTAACATTTATAAGTATACCAGAAAGCTCACCTCCAAAGACCGTACTATATGCCAGATTCTTCAAAGCAGAGAACAATAGAATCTCCATCTCCTTAGCAACTCAGAAATCTGGAACTACAAAATCAGGCAAGAATTCTTAGCAGCTTGGATAGCATCTTCAGAGGGTGGAGCTCATTACACTACAGCTACAAGATGTCAAGCAGTTGGTTTTCTATCGTTGTCCAGATCACATTGTAAAATAACTGGAGAAATTCAGCCAATTCGGACTACTCCACTGATTTCTGCTGGCCTCTTTCTTGCTCCTTGACTTTTTCTGCAGTGAATCAAGTCCTATTAATTAATCATTTGTGCTCTGTTCAGTTTGAATCGATCTGCTTTAGTTGGACTGTTCTGCGAAAGGTCTGACAAGAACTACATTTCCTGAGTTACCCTAGTTCCAACACCTTGTCATCAATTAAACCAAAATCCAAATCCTTGTATCGATATCAACTTCCAGAATTCTGTAACCAACATGACCACTGAAATCCAGATACGGGAAGTACTCTTAGGATGGCAAACTGGTGGTTTTCAACCTGTGGTGTGTGAACCCTTGGGGAGGGGGCACAATAGTCTCACAGGGTGTCTGCAAAGGTTTGAAGAAATGTTATGATTTAAATTTTGAGTTAAGTCTTAGGGTTCATGGTGAAGAAAAGGTTGAGAACCACTGAGTTAAACTATAATTTATGAATATCCAAAAGCATCATTTTTTTTAATCTATTAATAAAAATAGGGCGCAGAGACTCTTTAACGAAACCTAGGCCTGTAGTGTTTTTGAACTATCAAAAATTATTCCTCATTTAACATAAGGAATTTTGTACATTTCACTGAGATCCACACTTCTTGGAATAAGAGGCAGAATGGAATTCAGCCAAGATAGAACAGCCTTCAGAGACGTCTAATAATTCGCTGCAAGCTCAGCCAAAAAGAGATTTTTCTTCAGAAATTCTCAATTTAAAGTGATGCATTTTAAACACATTGCAAGGTGAGACTGTACGCGTTGCAAAAAGACTGAACCACAGAAAAAGGGGATAGTAAAGATTTCTGAATAAGCATAGGAATCATGAATATATGACATAGGCTGCAACACTTTTTTTTCCATTCGTAAAGTGGCAAAGATGCTCTATGTTTTCAGTGTAAAAAATTCAGGGGCAAATGATATGATTTTATTTTAGAACAGTTACATTATTTGAGGTATCTTTTTAATACTTTGTAGAATGCAAAGCTAGCTATGAGAATTAAACGGACTTCCAAGCATTTGGGAAATAATCATATCAAAGGGGTACAAAACTCTAGATGAATAATGCAATATATTATATTCCATTTAAAGTTTTTGCAGGAAGAGATTTCAAAGAACTTGGCAGTGGTTCAGCTGCTGTATAGAAAACCAATGGTTTGAAGGTGATATATTTTCTTTCTCTTATTTTCAGGTACAACAGCTTGAAGTAGCCACAGCCAGATTCTGAATATCATTTATTTTCTCTTCAATCACTTCACTCAGTTTCTTTCACTTTGCATTAAGAGAGTCCCTTCTTTTTTAAAAGAAAATGAAATAAAAGCCCTTTCTTTAGTTTTTTCAGGTCACTTTTGATTTTGATTGCAGGAAAAGCTAAACCAATCAAATCTGAGTCAATTTTCCCAGTTCTGTTAGCAACATATCATTTACAAGATACCATTTACATCTATCTGTTAAAAAAGGAGTGATGACATTGCTTAGCATGTGATAAAAACAACTATCAATAAGAAAGCTGATATGCATTCCTAGGCAAACAAACTTTGACACAAGTCGCAGCGCTTACGTCTGAACAGACATGTTTAGCATCTCACTAAGACTTGGCTTCTCCACAGGGATTCAGCACCATTTCCAGGGATAAAATAATAATAATAATAATAATAATAATAATAATAATAATAATAATAATAATAACAACAACAACAACAACAACAACAATAATAATATAATAA